GGACTTATATTCATTTGTTTTGTTTCTCCTTTATAAATCTAATGCTTAAATATGATTTTACAATGCTATAGCAAGATCTGGGAGCTTGTCTTGATATTGATTTAGTTAAATAATTACTTTTAAGCAACTTCTATATCATATAGGTTAACGATGTCATATTCTGGTCTAGTGATATAGCTTGTAATTTTTTTGGGGGAAATATAACTAGTAATGAGTGCTCTTGGCCATTGCTATTTGACATTTGTTAATAGAACCATTGAAGGGGTATTTATTCTGTTGGAGGCTACTGTCTCACTAGAAAATAAGAAATTTACCTTTGATTTATACATTTATTATATATATTTTTTTCATAATTATCATTATTATTTGATTTATTTATAATGTGAACTTTTCTTTAGGCAACAATGACAGCAGCGAAGTCAATGAATGACACAGCTTACTGGATGGCCCCAGAAGTAATTCTTCAAATAGGGCATACCTTGTAAGGATATAAAAGCCATATGCTTGCTCTTTTTCTTTCACATGATTAGGAAAGTACAATTTTCATGTAATTGATTGTTAATATGATGTGCCTATTTTATCTTAAACTTATTCTATTTTCTATTGTCGAGTGATTTGAAAATAGACTTATCATGCATATTTGCATTCGAATTTTAAATATGCATTCCAATGTAAATTGACATTTTTATGTTGAAGGTAATTATATATGTAACATTTAAATATTGTATATTAACAAAATTAATACCCAAGTCCCTCCCTTTCACCAAAATCTCAAATAACACAATAAAATCCTAACCCATATTTTTTCTCTTTAATTAAATTCTTAATGAGTTGATTGTGGCATGCACGTATGAATGATTTTGATACTTTATTTTTTAGATGTAAATTAATTGTGTGCAATTTAAGGACGATCTTATTTATATTTATATGTATATTTTTATGTACCAGACAATTACGTGTGTAACATCCAAATTTTGCATATTACTAAAACTAATATCCAACTACCTTAATTTCACCCAAATCTTCAAGATAGAAATAAAATTGCATCTAATTTTTCCCACTTTCATCAAATTCTCAAAGTTGGTCATAGCTGGTACAAATACATAGGTCTAATAGTTCATTTTTTTATGAGATATCATGTATGTAACTAAGAAAAGTCTTCGCTTTAATCAAATTATCAACAAGTTGGTTATGACACTTATAAATACATGAGTTTGATATTTTATTTTTTAGGTAGGATATCATATCTGTAAATAAGAAAGATCTGAGTTATAATACTATTATTTTTTTTCAAAATTAAAATGATGTGTTCATGTGCATTGTAATATGTGAATGTATGCAAAGTATATTTAAGCAATGTTGGTGTACTTGATAACATTAATGGATTGATGAATTTTTGTGAATAAATTTGTTTGGACAATTCAGTTGTCACAACCAACCAATTGAGCTCAAAAAAATTTGGCGACATTATTGTAAGACAAATTACAATTTGCAACTACCATATAACTATAAAATCACAATATATATTTACATGAGAGCAGCCACAACCTTGTTAATCAACATAGTTTATCTAGTAATGTGAAACAAAATGTAATTATTATGCATTCAAATTAAAAAAAAGCTATTAACTCAGAAGCACAACAAATTTATAATATAATACCTATGCTACTTCGAGCTTTGAAATACCATGAACATACATTACATGGAATTATAAAATTTTTTTATCTTTTCATAAAAATATAAAATGCACAATGTGGGTCATATCCATGCCCTATTACTCATGTATGATGTAAATAGAACGTGTCATTTTGAACATGTGCGTTGCGTCAGGAAAATGGTGCTGAGGGTGCACCGTATCACATCATGCATCATGGTGTATGCTATTTTATGTTACTGACATGTATGAGGTGGTTGCCTTTGCTATCAAGGATGAAGACTTAAAAGAATCACACAAGGTTGAAAACATTACTATGTGCCTTCAACCACAAGCACTGCAAGTTGTTCGAGCTTTGAAATACCATGAACATATATTACATGGCATTATAACAAAATTTAATCTTTTCATAAGAAAATATAAATAGTGAATAAAGCTAAAATAAGGTGTGAAAAAAGAATACACCGCATTTACTGCAAGCTTAGACTTTATAGAAATTTTTGTTCTTATTTCTAGCGACTCTCATAAAAGTGTCCCATCCATTATATTTATTCTCTAAACTAGGTATGTCGACTAGAGTTGAGCACAATATTGTAATCCCTAGTATTTTCATCAATATCTCATATGTCTATTATTCCTCACGACCATAAACAATAATATATGCATCATCACATCCAACTGACACAACTCAAAGAAAGAGAAGACATTTTCTAAAAAAAATGGGACTAAGTCATATGCAAAGCGGTGGATAAATATATGATTGCTAGAGGGATGATAGTTTTTTAAGGTCGCACATCTTAAACTTTGTACATCTTGGCTATGGCGTTAAAACATAAAAAATATTAGAGAAAAATATAACTATGATGGAGATGAAGGCAATAAGGGGCTCCAATATTGAAAGAAGCTTCTCAAAAGGTCCCGAAAAGGGAGATTGCCCTTTTTGTAACAATTAAGACTTCCATGATGATTAGAGAAGTTGGTGATCTAGATATGAGTTTCAATGAATGCTTACTTTAATAGTTTTTAGCTATATTTTTCATTGCACCAGGAGTAATGAAGACTGTTTGGGCATCATTAGATTGTTTAAAAGCAGCTTCCTTCTTTTTATTTTCACTAAAATTGGGAGAGAAACCATAGAAGATTAACTATCCCTACTTTCATTCTATGTATTCACTAGACACTCCAATCCTAAAAAAACTTATACTTTCTACTCAACACCTACCAGTTCTTTCCTATTTGCAACTCTCATTCGCCACGTGCACGACACTAGTGGAAGTTAATGCATGCTTATTCTCTTACCATATTTTAACCCACTTCTCAGACATACATTGTAGCATATTCCCTTTCCTGGTATTATAAACATCTCCTTCATTTCCAATATATTCCCTAAATAACATGATTCGCCTCATATAATAATAGGCATGTTTGATTATCTATTTATGTAAGCCAAGTAATAATGAGATAAGAAAACATAAGTTGTAAGTTTTTGAAGCTTAAGTTGTGAGCTTGGCTAAGCCATTTGGTTCGTTAAAAATGTAAGTTAATGCATGCCAGTGAAATTAACTATGGCCGAAGGAGAGGGAAGCTAAGTAAAAGAATCTTAAGAAGGGTTGGGTGTCCATTTCACATATCTTATCTTATCCCCTAAGTGAGGAAAACCAGGGCTTAGCTTAGCCACCTAAAACATGAACTGAAAAAAAGAAAGCTATAATTGTTAAAAAAACCTGCAACAAGCATACCAAAATTTAACCGTGCTAAACATTTAGGGTCATATCACCACCCAATTTCATTTAAAAAACAAATGGAATTAATGGTTTAAACATGACTCAAATATAAAAATGAAGAACAAGATTCAGAATGAAAATCTCACAGATTGTGAAGTGTGCTAGGAGAGTCCACGGTAGATGTTTATGGAAAAAGTGATAGCGAGGTAAATGGTGACGGTGCTAAGACCAGCGGTGAATGCCTTGTAGGCAACATCGCTAACTCCCTTCATCTCTGCGTTCAACTGCTTGTTTCTGGCTTTTGCCACTCGTACTCAGCACGGGGCTTTGTAGAACATAATAGTGGTTAGGAAACCTAGATGGGTAATTACGAATAGGAATAATAGGGCCTAAAATGTTGGTCTAAATGGGTAGTGTTTTGGGACCTTTTAAAGCCGCCAGCCCCTTTGATAAGGCCTGCAAGCCCACAAACTGGCTCTTCCAAGGCCATAAAATTTACATGCAGATCCTTAATTGCTTTAAATGGTTTTACCTTTAAAAAATACAAAAATACATGAAAATTTTAAATTATATATTATTTTAACACATTTAAATATTTTTTAACTAAATTAAGTCTTATATTATTAATTTTAATTTTTTTTTTGAAGAATTGATGAAATATGAGAGATTTTAACTATAAATATTTTTTAACTCTATTATTTTAAAATAACGCCTATTGCTTTTTTGGATATTTATCTTGTAGTTCTTTAATTTCTTCTTTTTTTTCTTTAATCTCATTATTTTCAAGCAGCGTATGATTATTTTAAAAAATTAAAATTGATTATTAACAAAGATAGGCTAAATTCATCATCATGATTAATGTTTAATATCATATAATTACTAAAAATTATATTTGATTATTATCATATGCATAATAACAACTAAATGCAAAGAAGTTTTATTATACTTTAAGATAATAACCATCGAAAACTTAGCATATTTTAATTATTATTTTTTGCTATCAACTGACTAAAATCCAAAACTCATTTGCTAGACAACTAATTACATTGAATTCAAATCATATAATTTTATATGTAACTATATTAGAAGTCAATTTTGTAACACTGACTGTGATCAACACTTATAAATAAAGATTGATCAATTGATGACAAATATCATACTATCTTATTATTGTAGTCGAAACTATAGCTAATATTCTCCTTATAATATATTTTTGTCCTTGATTACATCTATAGCAAGGACGATTAGTGTCATATGAGATTAATTATATCTTTTGTAAATCAATTTATATAAAGAATCTATAGAGCTAATATCCCGGTATGATCTTATTGTCTTTACACATAATATTAAATACAACACTTAGGATTAAACATTCGTTTGAGATAATTTTCTTATTATTTTATTTTTTAGACCACAACTACAACAACTTTAAGAAAAACTATTTTCTCCAAACAGTTTTATAATTACTTTTATAAAAAATTAAAGTCATCCCTAATGAATTCTAAGTTCTCTATATTTTTATATTCAAATTTAAAATAAAAAACTATATTATTCAATAAAAAAGCTTCCAAATAAAAAAAAAAGCATTTTCTTGCGTCTCGGCACTTCCAACCACGGTTCCAATGTGCAATTTGGCCACACCACGGGAAATTTTGAAAAATGAGAAATGAAGCCGGATCCAACAGTGTTATAGTGTCCGTTAAGCCAAGAAAAAAAAAAAAAAAAAAATGTATCTCTCTCTCCAGTCGTGGAAAGCCAAGTAATCGACGTAGAAGAAGGAAAGAAGATGCGAGACATGTTCGGATCGGTTCGGCGTTCTTTCTCTCTCCGCTCGAATCCCGCAGGAAATGATGGCGGCAGCCCTGGTAGCCGCATTGTGGAAAGGATCAGAGCGTTTGAGGTAATCGAAGATGGGGTTGGGCCTAGGGTTAGGTTTTTCACCCAAAGTCTCTGCATCCCCCAGTGCTCTTTTTCCGGAGGAGACCAACGATGATGCCTCTCCGATTTGGTGGAGAAAGCCAAGTAATCCACGTAGAATAAGGAAAGAAGATGCGAGATCTATTCGGATCGGTTCGGCGTTCTTTCTCTCTCCGTTCGAATCCCGCAGGAAACGATGGCGGCGGCCCTGGCAGCCGCATTATGGAAAGGATGAGATCGCGTTTGAGGAAATCGAAGATGTGGTTGGGCCTATGGTTAGGTTTATCACCCAAATTCTCTGTATCCCCCAATGCTCTTTCTTCGTAGGAGACCAACGATGATGCCTCTCTGATCCGGTGTAGAAAGGGCGAGCTAATTGGCTGCGGCGCCTTTGGCCACGTCTACATGGGGATGAATCTAGATTCTGAGGAGCTTCTCGCTGTAAAGCAGGTCTACTCTTTTATATCCAGTGCTTATTTTAATTTTGATAGAGATTGATTTCTACGGCTAAGGTAACAACTACTTCATTTTCGATTTTGCAGGTTTTGCTTGGGACTAGCAATGCCTCCAAGGAGAAGGTCCAAGTTAGATTCTTTCCTTCCTTTTTCTTCAAAAATGAAATATAACCCTGGTGTTGGTCTTTCCTGAACTGCCTTTCAGCTCGTCTTCCGCCTTAACATCTTTACTTATGTTTGCAAGCTCATATAAGGGAATTTGAAGAAGAGGTGAAGCTTCTCAAGAACCTATCACATATGAATATTGTCGTAAGTTCTCTCCTTCTTATCTTTGTTTTGATTTAATTGGTCATTTTCCCTGGACTTAAAGTCAAAATTACATCTCTTATTTGATGTATATCCATCCGAGAGATATTTGGGAACTAGGAGGGAAGAAGATACCTTAAATATATTATTAGAGTTTGTAGCGGGTGGTTTTGTTTCATCACTGTTGGGAAAATTTGGGTCATTCCCTGAAGCTGTATGTGCCATAGTTGCATGTTTGATTCACATAACTGATAAGTGATAACTAATTGCTAATCCTGTTAGGGACCTCTTATGTTTTAAGCAGGTTATAAAAATGTATATCAAGCAGCTATTGCATGGACTGGAATATCATCATAAGTATAGAATTATTCACAGAGATATAAATGTCTATTTACATGGTCTTCTTTTATATCTTTAATTTCATTTTACATGTTTAAAAAATGAAGTTTTTTCCCAAATCCAGGGTGCAAATATTCTTGTTGATAATAAAGGATGCA